CCCCCCTCCCCCCCACAAAGCCCCAAACCTAACAAATGCTGTTTCTTTCAGTCAAATGACCAACTATTTCAGCGAAACTTTTGTAACTAATTCAGGTTGACAATCTGTTTCTGATCTTTGGTGATATTCTGAATAAGTGATATGATGAGTTTACTTCTTGTGTGTACTTTATGCATTGTTGACTCACTCACTTTGAATGTCATTAAAACTTTCGACTGGAATTTTGTTTGATTTTACAAATTGAGACCTATGTCTACAAACTTAGATGTGACTAGGTGTAACAGGGATTTTTTTTTTTGCCTCGCAGAGAAGGGTGACCTAAGTACATCCAGGATGGTGTGCAGTTCTTCAGTAGCTCTTATGTAGCATAAAAAATAAGCTTGGCTGTAAGGACAAAAATCATTAAGTTTGTGTGTGTGTATGTGTGTGTGTGTATTCTTTTTGTTTGTTTTAAAGTGAACTGTGCTGTGCTTTCCTTTTTTTGGGGCAAAGGGACTGATCCTGGGGCTTGAACTTAGACCTGGATATTGTCCTTGATCATTTCTGCTAAAGGCTAACCCTCTACCACTTGAGACACAGCTGCATTTCTGGCGGTTCATTGCAGAGTGTCATGGACTTTTCTTCGGGGTTGGCTTGAACTGTAGTCCTCAGATCTCAGCCTATTAATAGGGAGGCTGGAGCCAACACTGTCTCCAGGTTTGTTTGTTTTTGGATAAAGGTCTCATTCAGAAAACAGAATAATTTATGGGTTTGAAGAGACTTCAGCTTGAAGTAGAATGACCTGATTCACTCAACATACATTTTCTACATTGTAGGTGGTATTAGAAATAGAAATAGGAGCCATGCGCCGGTGGCTCATGCCTGTGATGCTAGCTACTCAGGAGGCTGAGATCTGAGGATTGTGGTTCAAAGCCAGCCCGGGCAGGAAAGTACCTGAGAATCTTATCTCCAATAAACCACCAGAAAACCAGAAGTGGTTCTGTGGCTTAAGTGGTAGACCACTCTCCACAGGGACAGTGCCCAGGCCCAGAGTTCAAGCCCCATGACTGACCAAAGAAAAAGAAATAGGATAAAAAATGCAGCCTATTGGAAGAGACAAACATGTTAGGCAGATCTTTGGAGTTTTGAAGGATCACCTTGTGGTTCTTTCTTAAGTCAAATCTTTGCACTCTTTTACCAACTTTACAATTGACTATCTTATCAGTAAGGGGTATTATTGAAGATTTTCCATTGCCTTCTTCTACCTTGTGAAATTCCCAGACTAAACAAATGTTTCAATAGCAGTGATTTTCTAGCATTGTCTTTTAAGAACTCATTTGCTGTTCAAACAAAACTTTGGTCATTTCCCATGTAGCTGGCCAGTGGAAATTAGCTTGGTGTTCTGGATTCTTGAGATTTTAGTTAGCTGAAGACAAAAATGTCCTCATCTATTTGCTATGCCTAGTTTATATTAATGTTTAAATTTTTAAATTTTTATTGTAAAGGTGATGTACAGAGGGGTTGCAGTTACATAAGTCAGGTAAAGAGCACATTTCTTTTTGGATTCTTAATATCTCTCCCTCCATTAATTTTTGTGTTACAAATTATATATAGACTATAATCACTTAGATTAATGGTGTAATGAAACAGGAACCCCCCCCCTTTTTTTTTGGCAGTGATGGTCCTAAACTTGGTGTGAGTGTTGTCCTTTTGCTTTTCTGCTCTAGGCTAGCAGTCTATCACTGATCCACAGCTCCATTTCTGGTTTTCTAGTGGTTAATTGGAGGTAAGAATCTCATGGGCTTTCCTGCTTAGGCTGGCTCCCGCCATGATCTTCAGATCTTAGCCTCTTGAGGAACTAGGATTACAGGTGTGAGCTACCGGTGCCTGGTTGAGAGAAATCTTAATTAACTGAAATGACTCATCAGATCCAGGTGAAAGAATAGAGAGGTAGGTCTTTTTACTTGAATACAGTTTGAGACAGAACATACTCTGAGAGTTGCTTTACAGTGTTAATTGGAAGAGAGAAAAATTCTTTATTTTTGAAAATAAAGATAATTATACATGTCAATAAACAAACCTTAGTTGGGAGTTGAATTTGCTGTTGGGGGATAACTAATAAACTTTTAAGTATTGAGATATTTACAATTTTGAAAAATCAGTTTATTTCAGCAACTGTGCTTAAAGTCATCTATTAATGTATGAATTCTGTAAATATCACCACAATAGTTTGTACTGAGCCTGTGATTTTTTTATTGGCTTTTTCAACTCAGGTATATCAGTTAATAATTAGAACTTTTCAATATTTTAGACATCATAGGAATAATGTTATTCTACAGTAAGTAAGCCTCATTTAAAAATTGGTGGCTAATTACAATGGCTCATATCTGTAATTCTAGCTATTTGGGATCTGGAGGATCAGAGTTCAAGGCAAGCTGGGGCAAAATTTGGTGGGACTCCCACCTCAGTAGGAATGCTGTACATGGTGACACATGCCTGTCACCTCAGCTATGGGAAAAGCATAAATAGGAGAGTTGCAGTCCAAGCCTGGGGCAAAAAGGTGAGATCCTGTTCCAAAAATTAATAAAAAAAAAAAGGGTTAGAGGCATAGTTCAAGTGGTAGAGTATGAGCCTGTCCAGCAAGCTGAGTTCAAACCCTAGTACTGCAACAAATAAGTGAAAACATAAAAAGAAAATTCACTGGGAATGAAATTAACATTAAGATGGCTCTTGGGGTTGGAGGTATGGTTCAGATAATAAAGTGTCAATCAGTAAATGAAAACATCAGATCAAGAGTTCAAGTCCTGGTCACAGACCATTAAGTAAGTAAGTAAATAAATAAATGGCTTCTGTTTGTGTAGGGTGTGGGGTCAGGTCAATCTATGGATGAAGTGATCAAGAAAATGTAGTATATATAAACAATGTGATTTTACTCATCCATTAGGAAGAAGGATATCATATCATTTGCAAAGAAATTGATAGACCTGGAAAAAATTACATTACTTGAAGTCAGGCCCAGAGAGACAAAGGACACATTTTCTTTCATATGTGGAAACTAGATCTAATTTATAAATATACAAATAAGCACATATAGAGTTGTATGCAGACTTGTTAACTGAAGGTATGCTATGTTCTAGGCAAAACTTAAATGGTGTAATTTTTTTAGAAAAATAGTCCAACAAAATGAATGTCAGGCAACTGATACTTGAAGTGTTTATGGGGCAGGTCAAGGGAAGAGGGATAGATAGATGAAGAGAGGGGGGAAAATACAATAATAATATTCAAAGTATATCCTATGAAACTAGGAAAATGGAAGGGAGGGGTTGGATTGGGGGAGAATAATGAAAAGGGTTACATCAGTCAAAGTGCATTGTACTAGGTACTATTGTACTAGTGGCTCATGCCTTTAATCCTAGCTACTCAGGAGGCTGCAGTCTGAGTGTGGATCATGGTTCTAAGCCAGCCCAGGCAGGAAAATCCATGAGACTCTCATCTCCAGTTAACTACTGAAACACCAGAACTGGAGCTGTGGCATGGTAGAATTACTAGCCTTGTGCAAAAAAGCTCAGGGACAGCATCCAAATTTTGAGTTCAGGTCCCAGGATTGACATGCACCACACGCATACACGTACACAAAAAAAACATTGGACTTATGAACAGATTTGTTGAATGGTCACCCTTTTATACGACTACTTAAAGGTAAAAAAAATTTAGTTTAAAAATACTGCTTTTGCAAAATACAGATTTTTGTACCTAATTCAGGTTTGTTTCAGTGTTGTATTTGACTAAAGCATAGTACAGGATGCTGAGTTGTCTAGTTACCAAAAATATTAATTCATACTGGTTAAGCCCTAGATTATGGGTTAAGTGAGGCTATAGTTTTTTAAATTGTTTTACATATTTGGAGACAATTGAAAACTAAATTACTGTTTAACTTTGGAACTTTATTTTCAAGATCTTCAGACTTTCTAAAGCAATAATTAACAGTGCTTAGCTGTGACTTCTGAGGTTATTTAAAGTAAATGTTCTGTAATTCATCACTTAGAATGTACTGTTTTAAAATTTACTTTTAGAAATTCATGCTGAAGTCCAACTTAAGAATTACGGGAAGTTTCTTGAGGAATATACATCCCAACTGAGAAGAATTGAGGATGCTCTGGATGATTCAATTGGTGATGTTTGGGATTTCAATCTTGATCCTATAGCATTAAAGGTTTGATTTCCTTTTATTTATACATGTACATATATACATATGTATTTATATTTTAGAACAGCCTACATCTTGAAAATGCCATTTAAAAAAATAGAAATGCATTTTAACTTGAAATCTAAGCGTGAAATAACTTACATAAAATTACTAGTTCTTTTTCTCTAAGCATTACTAAAGGTGTTTTTAAAAAGTGTATTATGAAATAATGATATAAACTCAAGCTTTGATAGGCAAAAGCCTATTTGAGCCGGCTTTTCTTTTTTATCATCAAGAAAATGAAGAGGACTGTCAGGATATTCAAGGTTTATTTTAATTGAGATTATTTTACATAGAGTCAAATATACAGATTTTTAATTTACCTATATCCAGACTTGTAGGTATGTTGCCAAAGGAAAGTTCTATAATGCTATTTAATGTAAAGAAATCACAGATGATAATCAAAAGCTAAGAAAGAGGTAGAGGCTAAAGCTTGCCTTAGAAGATAAATACACTCACTATATTTTTGTTTTTGAATCATGAATATAAGAACAGTTGTCCTTTTCCCTATTCTGCTCTTTGTCATGTATTTTGACCTTTTTAGCCATAATAACTAAATTTATGCCTACATAGTGAATCCAAAATGAGCATCTTTTCTCATAATTATAGGATTGGATGCTAGTATTCTCTTCTTCCCTTTTGTTTACTTGCACTGCATTCATAACCAGCTAGAGCACAGCTTGAGTCATTGCAACATAGAATGTCATATTGGAGCCCTTTTATTTTAACTTTTTCATTTCCTTATTTTGCTGGTTTTTTTTTTTTTTTTTGGGTCCGGTTGTGGGGCCTGAACTCTGGGCCTGGGCGCTGTCCCTCAGCTCTTCAGCTCAAGGCTAGCACTCTACCACTTGAGCCACAGCGCCACTTCCGGCTTTTTTTCTCTTTGCTTATGTGGTGCTGAGGAATCGAACCCAGGGCCTCAGGCATGCAAGGCAAGCGCTCTACCACTGAACCAACTTCCCAGCCCTCCTTATTTTGTTGGCTATTGAGGTTGTGTTCAGAAAACTTGTGGTTTGTGTCCAACGTTACGTTAACTATAATTCAGCTAATTTCGTGTATGTAAAATTTCAGTGACTTCCCTCCCTCCCCAAATTAAAAAGAATATTTTTTCCTTTGTATCTATAGCTTTTGCCTTATGAACAGTCTTCTCTTTTGGAGCTCATCAAGACTGAAAACAAGGTACAAAATCCTACACCTAAAAGCGTATTTTAAAAACTATATGCTTTCCATTTTCTATTTATAATTTACCTTATTTTATCTTCTCATGAAATAAGGTCTTAAACAAAGTCATCACTGTTTATGCTGCACTTTGCTGTGAAATCAAGAAGTTAAAATATGAGGTAATTATTTGTAGTTTTCAAATCTTTAAAAACAAGGCAGATGTATACTTATATATATGCAGTATGTAATAAATATTGAATGTCAGTGTGAATTCATTAAAGCATTAACGTTAATGATACTAATAATAAAGAATGGTAATATTACCATTCATTGAGTACTTGCTATGTGCTAAAACTGTTAGTCCTTAGAACAGCTCCAAGAATTGGTGAGGAAGAGATGAAGAAACTGAAGCTTAAAAGGGTGTTACTTACTCAATATCTTACTAGTAATATCTGTTTGAATACTTGGTGAATATCTCTAAGGGTTGGTATTAGCTGCCATCAATTACCTAGCTAGCTAGATATAATTCATTTTTTGTTTACAAAAGCTTTGAACTTCTAATATGGATTTAGTTTTGTTTACCCAAGAGCCATTAAATCCTGGTTGAAGTCATTAAACTTCATGTTTTTTTTTCCTCTTCATTTATCTGATAGACACTGTGGTTGCATAGTATGAACAATTGAGAGTATATGGAACAGTGAAGATGGTCAGATAAGACAGAATACAAATAAAAGCTAAAGGAATCAAGATATAGCTTGGAGTATTAGTAATATTTTTGTTACCCTATAGATAAATTTTGAATTTATTTTTAAGTGGTTTTTGGAATTTAAATAAATTTGCATGTAAATGTAGTTCTCTGTTACTAAATGTAGAGTGTATAGGAATTTGAAAACAAATTTGAAAACAAAAACTATTCTAATTTGTTTTAAAACAGGCAGAAACTAAGTTTTACAATGGTCTCTTATTTTATGGAGAAGGAGGTAAGTATTAAAATTTCAAAATTAGAATGTGGTGATACTTTATATAAAATTGAAATGAACAGAGCTGGGAATGTGGCTTAGTGGTAGAGGGCTTGCCTAGCATGCATGAAGCCCTGGGTTCAATTTCTCAGTACCACATAAACAGAAAAGCCACAGGTGGCGCTGGGCTCAAGTGATAATGTGCTCAGGGACAGTGCCAAGGCCCTGAGTTCAAGCCCCAGGACTAGCAAAAAAAAAAATTGAACAAAATTAACAGCTAATTCTAGGATTAACAGTATTATATAATGTATTAATGTGAGAAAATACATATGCAGTATTTTGGTGATTGTTTTGGAGTAATAGGTGAAAAAATTGAATAATGAATCAGCAGTAAATTCCCTTCAAACTGTTTTAATATACTTGCATACAAAGTACTGTAACTTAAGAATTTTCCTTGGCTTGGGCGCTGGGAAGGTGGCTCAGTGGTAGATCACTTGCCTTGCATGCCAGAGGCCCTGGGTTCGATTCCTCAGTACCACATAAGCAAAAAGGAAAAAGCCGGAAGTGGTGCTGTGGCTCAAGTGGTAGAGCGCTAGCCTTGAGCTGAAGAGCTGAGGGACAGCGCCCAGGCCCAGAGTTCAGGCCCCACAACCGGACCCAAAAAAAAAAAAAAAAAAAAATTTTCCTTGGCATAATTAAGTACTGAAGCAGATGGTTAGCTTTAATTGTGTGACTAGTGAGTCTCATTTATCTCTTTAGTGTAAAAATTCTGTGTTTCAATACTGTGCATATTAGAATATGACCCAGTGAATAAAATAACATTTTCTTTTTTGGTGATTGAGTTGAAATTAAAAAATGGAAACAGTTCTTCATTTTGTGTTTTAAAGCTACAGATTCTAGCATGGTGGAAGGTGATTGTCAAATTCAAATGGGAAGATTTATTTCATTTTTACAGGTAACTGATTTTCATATTCTCTTGAATTTTGTCTTTTAAAAGTTTGCATAAACCACACATACTTCAATAAGTTCTGAAACCTAAACCAGGTACAGTGGCTCACACTGTTAACCCAAGCTACTCAGAAGGCTGAGATTGGAAAGATTTTGTTTGAAGGTAGCCTAGGCAAAAAGTTCATGAGACCACTTCTCATCCAACAGCTGGATTTGGTGGTGTGAGCCTATGATCCCAGCAAGACTTTCCATCTCTAAAGAAGAAAGTCGGCATGATAGTGAGTTCCTATCATCCCAGCTACAGTGGGAAACCTAAAATAGGAGGATCATAGTCTAAGCACAGGGCTGGGCAAAATAACTAGTGCAAACGGATGCAGGTATGGCTCAGTGGCAAAGCACTGTCTAACAAGTGAGCTTAAACCCTCTTATTCCTAAAAACATTCTGATCCTTTCACTTATTAAGGATATATACTTTGATAAGAGACTCAATCAGAATTGGATTATAGTTTAGGAAGTCACAACTCCTAAAAGATTTTTAAGCAATTTTAGGGGACCATGGTATTAAAATAAATTTCTTTATGTTTGATTTCTGAACAATTTGTTACCATGCCTTTAAAAATTTTAAGCTTTATACTAGCTGAGAAAAGTAATTGAATCAGAAAATGTAAATGGAGAGGATTAAGTTGCTGTACAAACAATAGTGGCATTGCTAAAAGTTAGTAGTACTGGATGTATCTGACAGGATATTTCAATTTTCATCACTGAAGGTACGATAATTTTGGGCCTTTTGGCTTAATTTTATTAAAAGTGTGAAATAACTTGTTCTCTTCTTCCATTGTACAACAATGCATGTGCAAAGTGAATAAGTAAAATTGGAGATTAAAAAAAAATGTCCATTCCATACTTCCTCTCTGATTGTTGGATACAAGATTTACTATATTTGACCAAATAAAGTATCTTTTTTTTTTTTTTTTTTTGGGTCCGGTCGTGGGGCCTCAACTCTGGGGCCTGGGTGCTGTCCCTCAGCTCTTCAGCTGAGCCACAGCGCCACCTCCGGCTTTTTTCTTTTTGCTTATGTGGTGCTGAGGAATCGAACCCAGGGCCTCAGGCATGCAAGGCAAGCGCTCTACCTCTGAGCCACCTTCCCAGCCCCCAAATCAAGTATCTTAACATGTTGTTCTAAATTTTTTTCTATCTTGAGCATCTTTTTTTTTTTTTTTTTGAGATCTACTTGGCCTTATTGAGAGCATTTTGTTAATAATATGGCATGTGTTATTCAGGGTTATCTCTAGAAAACAAACCACACATACTATTCCAGAAGATTTGGTCATAAGATGCATAGCATACATTTGATACATAAGATACATATGTACATATGTATATGTACATATCCATATACATATGTACATATGTATATACATATATATGTAGTCTAGAAGTCTTTTGTAACATGAGGACAGTAGATAATAAATTGTCCTGATAAATGTGATTCTTATTGAATGAGTAGATTTTAACTGGTCTTGACAGTAAGAACAACAAAAATGAGTAGCTGAAGAAACTACAAAAAACAGGAGAAAAATGAGTAGCTGTGAGAGGGTCCTATAGAATAGTACTGAATTGTATTAAATTGTCTTATGGAATAGTAGTGAACCTCGGAAGACATGACTGTCTCTGGCTGCTGCTAATGTCTCTTGAGAGGGGCTTATTTGGTTTTGAAGTGTTAAAAGAAGCTTGACACTTGGTGCAAATACCATCATTCCAGTGAACTATTGCTTAGATTTGCCTATCTTGATGAAAACAGCAAAATATGGAAATAATATTCCTTTCCTAAATTTCAGTCACCTATTGGCAGTCCAAGAAGGTGTCTTAAGAGTCTTAAGTTGTGTCCAGGCACCAGTGGCTTATGCTTGCAACCATAACTACTCACAAGGCTGAAATCAGAGTGATCATGGTTCAAAGCTAGCCTAGGCAGAAGAATCCCTGAGAGATGCTCATCTCCAGTTAATTACTCAAAAACTGAAAGCAGAACTGTGGTGAGCTACTTTGAGAGTCGTAGAGCCCTATCTTTGAGCAAAAGACCTCAGGGACAGCACCCACCAAAAAAAAAAAAGTCTAAGTTGGAAGAAGCTGGGTATCAGTGGCTCCTGCCTGTAATTGAAGCTACTTAAGATGCTGAGATCTGAGAATCACTGGTTAAAGCCAGCACTTGCAAGAAAGTACATGAGACTCTTATTTCCCGTTAACTACTAAAAAAAGCTGGAAGTAGAATCTCACTTTTCTTACCTTATTCAGTTTTGTATTTCTCATTTTAAGGATATTTTATTTAGAACAGACAAGTTGCTAATGATTTCTGACAAATCATCTTTTTTTTAAAATCATAATATGACCACCATGGTCCTGTTTCTCTAAGCTCCCAGAGTCTTGCAAGTGCAACCTTTTCCTTTTGGTCCTCTGCTTTCTCTTGATTATCTATTTCACTGTTTTAGTCTTTAAGCCTTGTGTAATTGATTCTGTATATTGAATTCCTTTTTTAAAAAATAAATGTTATATATATTTAAGGTATGCAACATGGTGTTATGGAGTACATGTGGTCAAAAGGTTACTACAGTGAAGCAATAAGCATATGCATCATATTAAATTTTTTCATGTGTTTTGTGAAATATATATATTTATATAACTATGTTAACAATTCTATACAACATATAATTATATATAAAAAATATATATATATACACTATACACATATATATATATATAGAGAGAGAGTATACCTAGTCTAAAATCTGAAATGCTCCAAAATATGGAGCATTTTAGCACTGACATGCATTACAAATAGAAAATTCTACACATTAAATTAATAAAAATCCTGTGTAAAATTACTCATAGAGTTCGTATATAGGTATATATGGAACACAAATGAATTTTACATTTAAACTTCATGTCATCCATATATCTCATTTTATATGTGTGTGTATTACATATATGAAAATATTCCCAAATCCAAAAACTATTTGGAATCTGAAATACTTGTGGTCCCAAGCATTTTGTATAAGGAATACTCAATCTGTATATTATTAGCTGTGGTAACTTTAATAAAGTCTATTTTTCAGACAGTGATATTGCTGCCCTAGCTCTGTTTTAGTTGCCATTAAAAAGAATTCTTTTTCCATTTTTACAGCCTCTTATTATCAGTTTTAGTAGCATTTCTTTAAAATTGTATGTATCATCATATACCACATAAAGATATTTGGTCAACAATGTACCTTATTTATCACGATGTTCCTCAAAGATTATTTTGTCTAGTGATGTTGTAGCCTTATTGATTGTGTTAGTATAGTCTGTGATAGCTGTATAATGACTAAAATGATTAACAGTGATTCTTAGAATGTATTTCTGTTGGTAAGCAATGAGTCACTATCAGGATTTTGCTTTTTTGTATCGTCTGATAATCTCTTTTAACTGTTTAATTTTGTTCACTTTTAAAGCTTGTAGATCTGACTTGGCCTTTTGTGTTTTTTATTTGTCCTGTACTTCTATTCCTGCTTTTCTGCTTTCATTTAACTTAAGTAAAATTAAAGTACTTAACTAGGTATGGTGTCACATGCCTGTAATCCCAGCATTTGGAAAGCTGATGCAGGATGACTAGGAATTGAAGGCCAGCCTAGACTATATAGTAAGACCTTGTCTTGCTCACAACTGTAATCTTGTCTGTTCTGGAGATTGAGATCTGAGGATTGCAGTTCAAAGCCAGTCCAGGCAGGAAAGTCTGAGACTTTTAACTCGAGTTAATCACAAAAAAGGTAGAACTGGAGCTGTGGCTGAAGCAGTAGTAGAGCACTAGTCATGAATAAAAAAGCTCAGGGACAGAGCCCAGGCTCTGAGTTCAAGCCTCAGCACTGGCACAAAAAAAAACCCCAAAAACCTCAAAAAAAGAACATATTTTTTAATTAAAAATTTAAAAATTGTTGTAGATCTATTGATAGTGCATGTAAGTTCAATTTTTAATTGTCCAGCATACATTTTGTCAATCTAGTATATTTAGAAACTGTTCTTGGTGCAAGGGACATAAAAGCCTGTCCCTGTAGTTTTAATCAGATGTTAAATATTGTAAGTACAAACTTATTTCTGTAGATTTAAAAGTGGAGAGCTTGTAAAAACGTTTTCAGAAGGTCTGGCACATAGTAGATGTGAATTATTTAATGCCTGACATTTTTGAGATAGTTGATATTTCACTTCTTATGTGCCAGGCTTGCTTAAAGATGTGATTAAATGTTAGAGATCACTATTTTCATCCTCATCCTTTCTGAACTTGAGTTCTTAGAGCTCCTTCATTCATTCAAGTATTTACTTACTGACTTATTTAATAGGACAGAAATTTATTGACAAGCAGCTATATTTAGTCAACATAATAGGTTGTGTATATTCCAAGAAGAAATGAGTTTTTGTCATTCAGAAGGTATATCAGTAATTAAAATATTAAAAATTAGTGGTAACAGAGATAGGAATGACTTCTGCCATGCAGAAAGGTGAAGTAAACATGGATTGTTGAAGAATGCTCAAGTTGTCTGTGTGCTGGGTAACTGGAGATTTTACTGGAAAACGTTTTGTGTTTGTTAAATATGTTACCATAAGGCTCAGTAAAAAACTGACATTTAAAAACTAATTTTGTAATATACTCAACTTGTCGTTTCAGGAACTCTCTTGTTTCGTTACGAGGTGCTATGAAGTGGTGATGAATGTAGTACATCAATTGGCTGCCCTCTATATCAGTAACAAGTAATGAATCTTAGAAATATTTTTTGCTAGGGTAAAAGAAAGATAGTGGGTGAATAATTTTGTAATACATTGCAAATATATATGAAAACGACATAAAGAATCTTAGTGAAACTTGTTGATCATTAGGGAAATGGGAAACTTGTTGATCAGTCGGGGAATGGGAAAGAGAAATAGTCTCTGTAGCGGGATAGGTATTAATGGGAGTGGCTTGGCTAACAAGAAGGATGAATACTGTTGAAGACATTGTTTGCAACTATGACAATAACACAATGAAACCTACTGAAATTGTAAGAAATATTTTTGCTTTATAGTAGATATGTAGGACTTTTTCCCCAAAAATCGAATCCTCTGAAATAGGTTTGTTCATTTTTTGTCGGTCAAGGGCTTGAACTCTGGGCCTGAGTGCTGTCCCTCAGCTTTTCAGCTCAAGGCTTGTGCTCTACCACTTGAGCCACAGCACCACTTCCAGTTTTCTGGTGGTTTTATTGGAGATAGGAGTTCCACAGCCTTTTCTGCCTGGGCTGGCTTTGAACTTCTATCTTCAGATCTCAGTTTCCTGAGTAGGATTACAGGTGTGAGCCACCAGTACCTGGCTGAAATAGTTTTTTAAATTCACTTATTTATTTAGCATGTTTTGAACACTCATGATGTTTAAAGTACATCTTGATGCATATATTATATGGATTCATAAGGCAGTTTTTATTTTTATTTTTTATTAAGTTTTTTTGTGAAAATATGGTACAGAGGGGTTACAATTACATGAGCAAGGTAATGATTACATTTCTTATCAAGTGTTGTTGCTTCCTCCTTTTTTTTTGTTTTTCCCTTACCATCCCTGCCCTCCCATCTCCACAACTACACTCCCACCCCCCCAAAGTTGTAAAGTTCTAAGTTCGGTTTTCAACATAGCATCTTGTACATTTCATTGTTGCAATGGGTTCACCTGTATCCCTATTTAAAGAATTTGTTTTTTCCCTTCCCCTCCCCAAATTATACTAATATCAAATACAGTGAAAACGGGTTATACTGTGGGGGAGGGACATACAAAGCAACAAAAAAATCACCTTATAAATCTGTTAGAAACAATAGCAAGAAAGAAAAACCACTTAAGTCCTTATCTTGGGGTTATTTTGCCTAACATCAACTTATCTGACCTTTTCTGCTTGTCTAAGACATATACTAGTTATTGCAAAAGGCACTTTTGTTTTTTTTTTTGGGTCCGGTTGTGGGGCCTGAACTCTGGGTTTGGGTGCTGTCCCTCAGCTCTTCACCTCAAGGCTAGCACTCTACCACTTGAGCCACAGCGCCACTTCCGGCTTTTTTCTTTTTGCTTATGTGGTGCTGAGGAATCGAACCCAGGGCCTCATGCTTGCAAGGCAAGCACTCTACCACTGAGCCACCTTCCCAGCCCAAAAGGCAGTTTTTATCGTGCTGCATGACCCTTTTGTCTGTCTGAATGAAACTGTTGACAGAAAAAAAACTCTTAAAAAAACTTTGATTACATAGGAAAATAGTATTAGTTCATATTCTGTATTATCTCTCTTACTGCTTTCCTATCTATGGTAATGATTCCATTACACAATAAAGTCATTTTAGACTTTAATTAAAGAATCTTAGAATCTGGATGAGTGGGCAAGATGGCAGATTAAACACATCTATCGTTTTGACTGTGAATTAGAAGAATATAATAACATAGGTGCTAGCTTCTAAAGAGAGAAAAGAGAGGAACAGTATTGTGAATTGTAAAAGGGGTAGTAGAAAGGCAAAAAGCAGAGAGAAACCAAGGCAACAGGAAAAAAAAAATAGCAGGTAATTCCAAGCCTGGTCCTGGCTTCCCTGGAGAGGGAGTGGAATTGAAGTGACCTCCATTACAAGGTAAAACAGACAGTTCTGGCTGTCAGTGCTGTCTGCAAGATAAGTTTACATATCCCATAGACCTTAGACCCAGTGTGGGTCTGATGGTTATTGCCTGGGACTGTAGAGCTGCCTGGATTCTAGCGCCTGCCTGGATCTTGCCAACTGCAAATTTGGTCCCTTACACTCCACAGATAAATGCTTGTTATAAGGGCTTGAGAACACAGAAACCTGCCCCTGGAAACTGCATTCTGGAGAACAGATTAACAAGACTAAGGTCTTATATCCAGATCACTCAGAAAACTTCTACAGCTCCTCCACAAGGAGAAGTAACTTCTAGATGGTGGTCTGTAAACATTGAAACTAGTAGATAAGTAGGGCCATCATTGGTCCTCTTCAAACTAGTCTAGGGTAGAACTCATGTTCTCTTTTTTTTTTCTTTTCTTTTTTTTTTTTTTTGGTCTGGTAGGGGGGCCTGAAACTCAGCTCTTCAGCTCAAGGCTAGCACTCTACCACTTGAGCCACAGCACCACTTCCAGCTTTTTTCTTTTTTTCTTATGTGGTGCTGAGGAATCGAACCCAGGGACTCAAGCATGCAAGGCAAGCGCTCTACTGCTAAGCCACCTTCCCAGCCCCTCATGTTCTCTTTTGTCTTTTGTTGCAGTCAGGGTCTGTTACAGCAGACTTGGAAGCTTGCCACCCCTGGGCACACAAAACTGGTGTATAGAGCAAGTGGGAAAAAAGCTAATAGAGCATGGCCAATAAAGCCCATAAACAATAAAGTTCTGACAACCAATAGTTACTTCTACTACTACTTCAATAGTTACTTCTGCTGCTACAACCAATAGTTACTACCACTACTACTTCTACAGTAGTTCTTCTACAGAGAAAGGAAGCCTCTAAAGTGATAGCAACACTATCATCTGATTCAGTTGAATCAGACTTCAGCAAGTTTACTTGAACAGTACGCAGGATAGGCCTGGTGCTGTGAGCACCTGGTAAAGGCTTAGTTATTGAGCCATTCCTTCTAATCCAGTGACAAGAAGTAACACTTCAATCAGACACTGCACTTTTCTACCTGAACATTAAGACAAATGGAATAATATAGGTGATTAGAACTTAAAATGATGCATAAATCCCAACATAAAAACACAATAGCAGATAAAACCTGTATGTCTCCTCCAAGAGTCAGCTATGCCACAGTAAAAAGTCAAATGGTAATAACTGAGTATAATCAAAGAAAGTTCAAGTAAATGAATAAAATAGAGAAGACAGGGTAAGAAGGAGGAATTTAATACAGATTTGGAAATCCTGAGAAATCAGTTTGAAATGTTGGAAATGAAGAATTCAGTAACACACTAAAAATTAAAAACACGCTTGAAAGTGAAGCTAACAGAACAGAGCAAGTCAAAAATATCGTATCAGTGAATTAGTATCAGGGAATTATAGTATCAGGGAATTAGATCAGTCAGAGACATGGGAAACACTAAGAAATGTGAATTGCATATATAGGATATCAGAAACATCATGAAAAGACCAAATCTATGAATTATGGGCATCAGAAAGAGTTGCAAGTTCAAGACCTAACATGTTCAATAAAATAATAGAAAAGTCGCCACTCTCAAGAGAGATGAAATTATCCAGATGTGACACTTTCAGAATACTAAGTAGACAAGATCAGAAAAGAAACACGTACACATAACTACAAAATAAGCAGGACAAAAAAGGGATATTAAAAGCTACAAAAGAAGAGACTAGTCACCTGTAAAGGCAAACCCATCACAATAAATAGTGGATTTCTCAACCTAAACTCTAAAACTGCAATTCTGTTTAAAGGATACTTATAGTAGCTTTATTTAAGTTCATGATAACGAAAGAGATAACAAGTTCACAGGAATTATTTGCCAAGATTCTAAAGCAGCTTAGGCACTTTTTGGTTATTTAGTCCTATCATTATTTTTATCATACTACATTGTATGTTCATTCTATAAATGTGTATACTATATTTGCTGTTTTTCATTCAGATTTGATTCCCCTTAGTTAAGTATTTTATGCTCTGGCTCTTTATTAAAGTTTTCTTTGTAGCAAGAGAGAATGAAAGCATAGCCCCTCCATTCCCATAATACTATATATATGTGTGTATATATATATATACACACATATATAAACTATAATACTTAGATATATAATTACTATATTAGATATCTTATTGTTAGGTATATTGAGTAGGAAGAAGTAAGGTTGAATTTTTTGTCTTTTCACTTTGATTTAATCTTAAAAGTATTAATCAATTTTCAGTAAATGTGAAAACTTAGAAGTCAATCTGACTGACCAGGATTAGTTCTTAAATGCCCATTCGGGTAACAAAAAAAGAGTCTAGTTAGTAATTGAGAAATTTTAGTAGCTCAGAAAGGTAAATTTCAATTTTAGTGTTTTTGTACCTCCATTCCAAGGTACATCCTTTAGGTTGTGTCTTTAGACTAAGGCTACTGATTGGGTCACATTATTATGTTCTTACATACGAGTGGGGTATGGGCAAGGGTAACCCAGACTCCAAATACAAGTGGTTTCTTTGGGGAATGCAATATTGTGATAATTCTTTAAGATCTCTTAAAGTTTAGTGAGTGAAACTTTAATAAAGATAATTAATGTTAAAATTCCATGTGTATCCTCTCCTAGATGTTATTTCTTAAAATAAAAATGAACTGTGACAATAAGATACTCTTTTTTTAACTTGGATATTATTTTATTATAGGATTGCACCTAAAATTATAGAGACAACTGGAGTTCATTTTCAGGTAAAAGTAATTGAACTTGCCTTGTAAAACTATGTTTCTCTTTAGAATTTATATGATTGGGAAGTATTAGATTATATACCAAGACTTTAAGAGTTATGAGAATTCACAATCATTTTAACTTTTAGCATTCTCAGTGTATATTCTCCAAGCAATCTTTTTGGGCAGTGAAACCAATCTGCATTGTTAAATTTAAGGAAGAAATATTGGATGAAGTGTTCTATGAGGCTAATGATGTCATTTGAGGATTAAACTTTATAAATGAGCTTCATAAACTAGTTTATCCCATGCTTTAATTACTCAAATGTATTTAAACGTCCACATGAGGCTTAACTTCTAACTAGTGACTAAATGATAATCATTAAAGGTTTTTTGACAGACTATGTATGAGCATTTGGGAGAACTGCTAACAGTTTTGCTTACCCTGGATGAAATCATTGATAATCACGTCACACTGAAAGACCACTGGACTATGTATAAAAGGTATACCAGCTAAAATATTTTAAAATTTGCTTTATATGAACAAATAACTCAGATTCTTTAAAAGACTGGGAGACCTGTACTTTAATTCTAAATAGCAAGGAAGTTGTGTCACCTATTTTTATGAAGATAGTACCAGTCTTAATTTCAGAAGCATTTGAGAGTGTAAGTGTAAAAAGCATTTTAAGTCTTACAGTGTTACAGTAATAGTAATATACAATTCTTCTAGTATGTTAATTTGCCTACCTTGGGACTCAGATTTATTTTTTCATTGGGATCTATTGAAATGAAAACTTCTCTTTTAAGCTTGATTTCATCTTGATAGATGCTCTTGTACTTAAAAAACATCTTACTCAATGTATAAATACTAACTGTTTAGTATGTATGTACAACAGGCATCTGAATTGAGGATGACAGACAGAATTGAGTATATTAAGGTTGTTCTGCTCACCTTTTTAAATGTGTAGATAAAGTTTTTTTTTCTGGGGAAATGTTTAGACTTCAAGGATTTATTAAATTGAGGATCTTTCTCTTAATCTTCTACAAGGTTATTGAAATCTGTCCATCACAATCCTTCAAAATTTGGAATTCAAGAAGAAAAATTAAAGCCATTTGAAAAATTCTTGCTGAAGCTAGAAGGACAATTACTTGATGGAACAATATTCCAGGTGAGTAGTGCAGTGTCAGGATGTAACTGCTGGTCTCATTAGTTGACCCACCTAACAATTGTTGAATTTATTTTGCTTTAAAAAGTTTCTTTGGACTAAAATTACTGTTAATGTATTAAAATATATTTTTCAGTACCTATTAACAAAGTTGAAAATATACTGGGGTAAGGGTTAAAATACATATGTAATCCACGCATTGTGGCCCAACCCTGTAATCCTAGCTGTTTGGGAAGTAGAGATTGGGGATTTGGTTTGAGGCTAACCTGAGCATAAAGAATTTCCCAAGACTCCTACCTCAACCAATTGTTGCGTGTTATAGTGGGTGCCTATTATTCCATCTATGGGGGAAGTTCAGTGTCTATATGCAGTGACATGGGGAATGACAAGTAGAATCACAGCCCAAGCTGGCTCATGCATACAGTAAGACTCTGTCTCAGAAATAACAAGTGCAAAGAGGGGCTAGCGGAGTGGTTATAGTGGTAGAGCACCTGCTTAGCAAGTGTGGGACCCTGAGTTCAAACCCCAGTACTGGAAAAAAAAAAAGATGATGTTTAAGGATTAGGATCTAAATGCATAGTACAGTGTTTGTTATTCTTGATTTAATCTTGTAAGACTATTTTTTTAAGTGGTTAATTCTTTGTACATTTAGGGGCTATAATTTGAATCTACATAAAAGGGTAGCTTCTAAATTCAAATTAACTAAAAAACACTTTTTCTTTTCTTAATCACTGTAGCTACATTTCAGTTTACAACCATATAAAGTGTATGGTTAGGGCTGGGAAGGTGGCTCAGTGGTAGAGCGCTTGCCTTGCATGCCTGAGGCCCTGGGTTTGATTCCTCAGCACCACATAAGAAAAAAGAAAAAAGCCG